ACACCAAGTCGGTTCATTCTTCCGAGCTTACAACTTCATCGAGGGTGTCTAGCCAGTCTCACAAGCCTTCTTTCAATCATATCCAAACCAGGGACCAGCGCTCACCTTCCGAGATCAGCAAACGGGCTAATGATATCGTTGTCTCTCCAGTCTCAGAGTCCCTTCCTTCGAAAGTCTTATCTTCCTTACCCCAAGACCAGCTCTCGGCCCATTGTAATACCGTCTCAGCCCCCGTCGATCGCCTAATTACTCCAGCTTGTCTTCGGTCTCCGATTGTCATCGCACCCTCTTTTTCTGCTGCAATGGCCTCTTCTGTGGAAATGCCGAGGTCGAATTTGGTTGTCAAGATAATTCGTTGTCTAAGAAGTGATCATGTCGTGAGTGTACTTTACTCTAGTATAAAGATCATACATTAGTTTAATATTTTTGTATTTGCGTGTCAATGCTCTTGACTGTTACCGACAGTTGCTACTGCGGTGTCTTAGAAATAAAAGTATTGTTGATGAATTGGACTTTATTCTGCCTCATTTGCGCAAATGGAAGTGAAGAATCTGCAATCACAGCTTCTTATGTGGTTGTGGTCATAAGACAAGCACAAGATAGAAAAGCCCGGAGTGCTGAGTGCAGTGACTGTGTAGAACTGAAGAAGCCTTTAAGTTGTGTTAAATTTCGCTTTCAGCAGTAATGGCTGATTCGTCGACTAATGAGTTTTACTTTGTGCGTGCGTCTGCAAAGAAAAATTAAGCAACGGATTGGTATATTAACTGGGCTGCATGTCTGTGAATAGCGAACACAACTGCTTGTGTGCTTTGGAGTAGTCCTTTATCTTTACACAAGCGTCGATTTCAATTTCTGGCCGTTCATGCTTGAAATGATGTCTAAGTTTATTGACATGTACAGGCTCGAGTTAGGAATGAAGATAATGCAGGTCTGTGGATATGGGTTTGCCAGAATATACATAACTCGAGTGTGGTGGTTTACAAATTCATCTTTAATCTAAAGATGTAGATTTTTTGTGGCTATAAGGATCTGGAGGCGCTAAAAAGGCTTGTGTATATCACACTTGTATGTTTAGAGTGCGCCTATAGTACTATTAGAAACTCAACAATAGAGCCGAATAAAAGAATGGAAGCGAAATTTGGTTAGTGATAGTTAAAAATAAGGATATATTGAGCAAAATAATACGGATAAATAAATGTAGTGATAAATGCCATAATTCCTG